TTCTTTTTGCGGATACAGACTAACACGGCTGCTACTCTGAAACCTGTCTTTAAGCACATCTGAATGCATGTGTGTTTAAAGGTATGCACATGCTTCAGTACCTTCCTCAGTCAGTGCCTGAGGCCCCTGACTTGCAATTGGATCCACATGGGAAGACCTTAATTCCTACATGGTGTCTCTTTAATGTCAGTGGGGCTCCGTGTAAGTGCGTAGATCTGCCTAAGTAGATCTGATTGCAGGATCTGGGCCTGAAATATTCTCTTGCACCAGTATTGGCTAGAATAAAATAAATAATGAAGATTTAGAATGTGGAAGAAGTGAATTTAAGTTGCAACCTCAGAATCTTTATTTCCCATTGCTTGGGGCAATGGGGGCAGGGGACGGAGAATTCTAACTAATCAAGAATTCTAATTTGCTTTGCAAATATTTTTGGATGTGGATCCTGGTTTTAATTTTGTTTTTAATATAAATAAACCAGGCTGCTACATAGTGAATTAAAGTAAAAGTTTACATCTCTGGCAGTAAAGTTCTTTCCCCTCTCCTCTTTGTCTTTTTTTCCCTCCCCTCTCCCCCTTAATTTTTATTTCATTGGTCTTCTTGTTTATCTCAAAGTGGACCAACAGCACAAATCATTAGACTGTGTTTTGTTGAGTAAGGAGCTATTTGCAGTGCTGAGTAACTGTTGCACACACTTTTATTTTCTCTTTTTGGTGCACACATTTTAAAGGCAACAAAACCTGCACATGGAATCTGTGGTTCTTGTGAGGATCAGCTAAGAATATTCTCTGTATGCGTTTTCCTAATTGATATGTGAGTGTATTAATCATGCATTTCGTTTCTATATGAACCAGTTCTTGGACAAGCATCCTGTTGGGTAAACAGATTTGAAATGCAGAGCTCAGCTAAGTAGTAAGAGCTTTCCTTGCCAGATGAGAGACCTGAGAAATGGAACGTTCAGAAACAAAAATGTTACGCATTGATTTGGAAGAATCCTGTTTTGAAAGAACAAACAGGAAGGGAAAATAAAATCACACTTAATATAAAAACAAAAAAATTGACATTTAAATGCAAGCAGAATGATGTTGTGTAAGGTACAATCACAAATAAGCTATTCTCGTAGTTACAAACTGTACACATCCTTTGTTTTGTTTTTCATGAAGAAATGGGAATGCTTTCCCACTGACAAAATGAAGAGACAATATTTCCAATACCAGCCTGTCTATTGATGCTCTTGTGTTTACAAACTGTGTATACTTTTATTTCTTTGTTTTGATTTAACTATATTTTTGGCATATTCTTTCAGGTCATATTGCTTCGGTAATAAATGCAATTGTTTGTTTTTAGATAATTTGTCTTCACCTCTTTGTGTCTTTGTACATTGTACATAGTTCTTCAGTATTAGAGGGAAGCATACTGTTTGTCAGATTTACAATATGTGTTGGTGCTCATTTGAGAAAATAAAGTTTTCAAATATTAAAAGTGTGGATCTACTTTTCTGTTTTCGTCCCTAGGACCACGAACAAAGTGGAAACTGACCAAAGGGGATGGAATTCAGTTGACCTGTAAGTTTGAAAATACCCAAATCACATTATTGTTATTTGTATTAAAATTGGACCAATCAAGGGCAGGGCCCTATTGTCCCAGGGGCTGGACAAACATAATCCCTGCCCCAAAGAGTTTACAATCTAATGTGACAGGACAGACGAAGGTTGGGAGGGGAAAAAAGGCACAGATGAAGTGATTTACCCAGGGTCGCACAGCTGGTTACTGGCAGAGCCAGGATTAGAACCTAGGTCTCCTGACTCCCACTGCCTGTCCACTACACCAATCTGCCTCCCATCATCATTATTAATTATTGTTTTTATTCTGTTATTGTGGTGGTAGGAACCTACAGGCACTAAGCAGGATCAAGGCCTCTCTACTTGGATTGTACAAACACAGAGGTAGATATAATCCCGGTCTCAAAGAGCATAGGCTGTGGAGCCAGAGGGTGGTCTCTCAGGCCATGGCCAAACCACTTTTTGGCTGGGCCAAACCTGAGCAGCACTGCAACCCTATGCACCAGGTCACGATGCCACTCACTCAGATTTGGGGGGTTGGGTGAAGGGGCTCATGGGTCAGTGGGGGTCAATCTGCTTCTGGGTTGGGGGGGGAGCACCTGAGAGGGGAAGAGGAAGGTGGGGCGGGAGGGGGCAAAACTGTGGCCCCTTCACTTTAAATGGTGCTCCACAGCCCCTGCTGACTAGTTTACATTATAAGGCCTTGATCCTAGAATCGGATCAACACAGACTTCCATGGGGCTCCGTACAGGTTCAGAGGTTTGCCTCTGTGAATCCAATTCCAGGACCTTTATTTTGTCTCCCACATGGTGTGAGGGAAGGGTTTTAACATCCTCCTCTTATGCTTTCCAATTCAAGGCGTCTTTCCCTCTCAGGAGGCCTGATCCTCCAGTTCTTCCTCACCTCAAACTCCCCTTGAGAGCTGTTCACTTTTTAAAAAATCTGGATGGTGACACCAAGCTGGCCAGCCTCATTTGGTGATTCTCAGTCGCTCGCGGAGGGCTGCTCTCTTTGTTCCTTTTGTTGAAATTAAAAGGGAAACAAATTACTCTTGAAAGGTTTCTGTTCACATGAGGTTTGTAAAATCCCTCCCCACCCTTCTTTTTGATTAACAAATACCTACGTTTCAAACCTGAACAACTTGGTTGTGTCCCTATCATATACTCAGGTACAGCCAGTTTTAAGTTGTAAGAGCAAATATTTAACAGGTACACAAAGGCATTAATTGCAGCATGTCCTGCCTTTCCCTTTCCACACAGTTAAATGTCAGAAGTTTGTCATAGACATTTAATCTTGTCACTCATCAAGCATTAGTGTAGTTAATGGGATTTGGTGAAACAAATGCCGAGCTTTCAAACAAATGCTGAGCATTCAGACACCAGGAGGCAAATTCACTTGGGCAGATGCTTAGCCAATGGTTCTCAACCAGGGGTACATATACCTCTGGGGCACACAGAGATCTTCCAGGGGGTTCATCAACTCATCTAAATACTTGCCTAGTTTTACAACGGGCTACATAAAAAGCACCAGCGGGAAGTCAGTACAAACTAAAAATTCATACAATGACTTGTTTATACTGCTCTATATACTATACACTGAAAGGTAAGTACAATATTTAGATTCCAATTGATTTATTATTTAATTATATGTTAAAAATGAGAAAGGAAGCAATTTTAAAGTAATAGCGTGCTGTGATACTTTTTATGTTTGATTTTGTAAGCAAGTAGTTTTTAAGTGAGGTGAAACTTGGGGGTACTCAAGACAAATCAGACTCCTGAAAGGGGTACCGTAGTCTGGAAAGGTTGAGAGCCCATTGGCTTAGAGTGTCACAAATCTCTCTCTCTGTCTTTTTAAATAAAATTATTTTGGCTGAATTGTACGTGAAGGAGGCCCCAATCTGACTTAAATGGGAATTTTGCCTGAGTAAAGACTGCAGAATTGGCATCTCAGAATGATCTGTAATTGGAATTAATTAATTTGATGTCCCCCTACTACCCCTCCCCCCAAAAAAGTGTAGTGTCCTAGAGATTAATTCCTCAATCTGTGTAAACTCTTGTAGTTACACTGAAGTCAATGGAGCTACGACAGTTCACCCCAGCTGCGGCTCTGGCCCCTCCAGATGACATTCCTGGCTCCTGGAACTACAGACAGTCCTCAGACAATCCTTCCCCAGTTCTGCACTGTGCTGCAGAATTTAGGGAAAGATATTTGAAAGAGCTCAAGGGTGAATTTTCTAATGCTGAGCACCCACAACTAGTGGCCAGATTTTCTGCATCCAGCAGCTCCCAACAGCAAACCAGTTGTGGGTCCTGAGCCCTTCCAAAAATACCAGCCAGTGTGGCTATCAGTGCAGTGCTGACATGGTCAAGAAAGCTCTTATGGGCCCAATTCTACCGTTTCTAAGGGTGAAAGCTTCTGTTATAAAGTCATTGATTCATTCCCAAATCATTAGTCAGGTGCTTTGAAAATCTCACCAGCTGGCTGCATCTTTAGGCCCTTAGGTGACTTGCCTAGGACACGTCTTCACTACCCGCTGAATTGGCGGGTAGCAATCGATCTATTGGGGATCGACTTATCGCGTCTAGTGAAGACGCGATAAAATCGATCCCCGATGGCTCTGCCATCGACTCCGGAATCCACCGCGGCAAGAGGCGGAAGCGGAGTCGACGGCGGCGCGGCAGCGTTCGACTCGCTGCCGTCCTGACAGCCAGGTAAGTCGACCTAAAATACGCAACTTCAGCTACGCTATTCACGTAGCTGAAGTTGCATATCTTAGGTCGGCCCCCCTCCCCCCATAGTGCAGACCTAGCCCTAGTGTCACAGAGGAAGTTTGGGGCAGGGCAGGGACTTGAACACGGGTTTTCTGAGTCCTAAGGCTGGTGCCCTAACCACCGCACAATCCTTCCTCTCCTACAGCGATTTCATATGGAGCACTCATCTGTAGGATCCACGATGCTCTGTAACTGCAAAATATGCTGGTGCTGCTCCTTAGAGCAGGATTCAAGAAACACAGCTCTCCTTTAAATACATGACCAAAAGGAGGCTGACAGTTTGGTAAATTGCATTCACCGTTAGGGAGACCATGACTCACTAAATGATATTTATCCTAAATGCACTTTTTACAAATTAATCATGTTACATGAATTCTTTAATGAGGGGCCCAGATCCCATTGCCTCCAGGTTCTGGTGAAACTCAGATCTGGAGCCAATCTTTGCAGCTTGGACCCATTTCTAGTGTTCTCATCTAGGTCAGGATTGTGACCACACCCTTACCACAATGTGCAGAGAAGTAAGGGGATTAGTTGTATTGCCGATCACAGCAAGGGGAAAGAGCAGCCTCCACGGAGCTGCTGTTACTCAGCCAGGGCCGGGAGACAGGATATGAGCAGGCAGGTCCAAGGCTGTGCCTTTGGCCAGCGCAGCCAAGCTGGCAGCATGGTCTCTGGGCTTGTCTACACATTTAAAGCATGCTAAGGAACTTTTAGTGCACAGCAGTGGAGTTGACATGGACCAAATAGTGCACAACACATTAGTGTGCTTTAGAAATCACACCCCCATGGTGTGCATTGCTGCATCATGTAGCCCTACACTTGGAATAAGGGGGGAACCAGAGGGGGAATTGTGATGTGGTGCAGCTAAGTGCCTGGCTCAGGACAGATTATAATGTGTCAGTCAAGCCCTGAGTAAATATTTGATCATGTTAGAGCTAGGTCTTGTGAGGTGCTGCATTCCTTCAGTTCATAATGATTTGGGCAGGTGCAATGCAATGGGAACAGCAGCCCTTGGAGGCAGAGGCCTTTAGAGGGGCCAGGCTGCAGGGCCTGGTTTGTCTGACTTGTGTCTGTGTTTCAAAGCATCTTTCAGAAAAGAGAGAGAAATACTGGTGCTAGTGAGAACTTCATTGACACTGGTTGGCGAGTTTGCTTGCAGGATGGTGGGTGAACTGAGGCAGGATTTGGGGAGACCCTGTTACAAGCAGGTTCTCAGATACTATAATATATATCTCTTGGGTGTCCCACTAAACACTTTTTCCCCCCAGTTGCACTGATCATCTTTTTTTCCATAAAAAAATGACCTTGTGCAATGCTTTGTGTATTAGCCCTCCTGAGACAGAAAGCTGCAGGGAAAACTGCCAACTAGCAAAAATCATCTAGCACAAGAATGAGAAAGGAATATCCTTGTATTTTGGGGCTGTTGTTTTGCATTTAAGTTATTAAACTGAAGGGCAGTTTCCTAATTGATATAACTGGTTAGAGAGCTTGTCATTCCTATCTGGCTCTTGGAGCAGAAACAGCTATAAAAACTATTCCAAACACTGTACCATTCTCACACCTTATAGGCAGGGGATAGGACATCTGCTGCTTGTAACTGCTCATTAATTTTCAAGTGTTATTTTAATGGCTCCCTAATAACCGTCCACACACACACACACTGTTAAAATAAAGTTAATGGTTTAGCTTAAATTGACAAGAGCCAGGAAATTCAGACTTAAAGCTGACATGTTACCCTTAAATTGCTGTGTTTTGTAAGATCACCTGTTGCAGCAGGAGGAAAGCATCTGTGTTTCTGCCTTGGTACGTTTGCAGCAGAGGCTGAATTACAGAAGGGGTTACATCCCTTCATGCCTACATCCTGAAGCAGGAGCGTTTATATCCTTTCCAAAATACTTGTGCTCTGTCTATATTAGTTTTTTTCCACCAATGAAGACACAGTGATGCAAGTTCCTAATGCAGAGATGTTGTACCGCAGTGTACCAGACAACCCAGGCTAAGTTACAAAAATCTAAGTCCCATTTTGCACGGGGGCGGTGTCTGCATTAGGGGTTTGCACTGATATACCTACATCAATATTTTTACACCAGGGCAAATTTCTGTAGTCTACCACATGCCCAGATGCAG